GGTCGAGGAGTGGGTCTGGCTCTTTAGGTCCAACAAAGTAGTTAGCGAGACAAAAGATAAAAAAGAACTAGTAATCGATATGAGACACATTGTATTACTGATGTAAACAGACAACTATACAGGTAACACAGAGAAAACCAATAAATGTTGTCAGTCAGCGGTATCGTCAGTAACGCACTCTTATTTCACCTCCGTCCGGAGTTCGATTCCTGGAATGGACGTAGAGGGTATTGGGTCACCTGGCAAAACATGTAGGTTTTTCCCTGTACTCAACTGTCCTCCCACAATAAGACCCTCGTGTGGAAAAAAAACTTGAGTCGCAATTGTAATGAAATAGATGAAGTTTGTTCATTTATATTTCTTTTGTTAATATTTTGCTCTTGTTTGATTGAATTTGGGTTTTTGATTATGATCATGTTGCCATGTTGGTATTTTCTTGTTTTTTGCCCTTGAGGATAATGACATGTTGGTTTTTCCTTCTTGTTGGCAGCCTTCTATTCCCAAGGGTTTGCAGTAGCGCAGAAGCATGGTATGTGGCTGGTTGGTTTCTAGGATGAATCCCGACAAATTTTGCGAAAAGAAATAACCATATTTAAGGTATCAGAGGCCGAATTTGTTTAAACAGTTTAACACTTTCTTCTTATCAACGTAAAGGCCCAGAAGCATATGTGACATGTAGGTACCTTGTAGGAATGTCGAAATGTTTGCAATAAAAAATAAAATTGTCTTATACTCATGATACCAGGGTTCAAATTCATCAAAACCTTAAAATTACTTCTTTTTAAATCACTTGCATGAAGGCCGACCAAGTTTGTAAGAAAGAATGACCTTATGGATATAAATATGTTTATATTCAAGGGCACAGTGTTCGAATGTATTAAAACAGTTTCTTCTGATTTCCCAGAAGACCGTATACAATGTAAGGAACATTAATTAACATGAATACTTTCTAATATAAATACAAATTCTGCTTTTTAACAACCGTCAGTTTACATGTATGAGAAACAGCAGACAACATTACTGATGGATATAAGACTCGCTACTAAAGTAACGATTTGAAATTTAAGCAGACGACTTGCTATTATACGACAGCCATTTATATACACGGGGCAAGCAAGTCAGAATGTTAAGACGTCAAACCCCTGTGTTTATCATTAGTAATACTCCTGGTGGACAATGTCCCTCACTATTGTAGCTGCGGTTTCGCTTCAAATCTAATGATTTCTGTGATGTCATCTTCCTTGTTCACATCGCGGTCTAATATCCTTTTCCATGAAACAATATATATTAAACTATTATCTTATGAACCCATTGGAAGGACACTCAGAATACAACATTTTAGTAAATATAATTTATAATTCTTTTGTCTAAATACATCTGTTTTTCATTGATTGCATATTGTTAGAATTTAACATATGATATATATACAGTCGAACCTAGTAGGGACCAAAGGGAAGCCAAGGAATTTGCCAAGATAAATATGGATGGTGTTGTCGATGACCCATTAAACGCATACGATTTCGAAACACCTGGGCCCGTATTCATTAAACCGTTCTCATGCTCAAGCTTGCATTTTGTGCCTAAGCTGGTCTGATTCTCATGTAGCAATAACTTGGATTTTGATTTCAATTGTTGTGTCCCTTTAAAGGTGCGTCCTTAATTTTAACCCTATAGCAGAACAGATCAAGACAGTTCTATTGAGAAGTTTGAATGTAAGAAGTAAATAATTATCCTTATACCTTCTCGTCTTTCTGAATAGGGCCTGTTTTATTCCTGATGTGTCACGTGACACATTTTGCATTTTTGTTGTATTATTGAGCGTCCACCCATAATAAGTAGATTAATATTTTACCACCTAACTTAAATGTGTTACTTTAATCAGGTAACAGAATAGTCGTTGTCGGTCTATGAGCCTAATAACAGATCAGTCCTAAGCTATTGCGAGACTTTTTATCATATAAACCAGCCTTTAGAAAATACAGTTTGCGGAACCTGCATTTTTTTCTTATAGATTATATATCATATTGTATGTAAGTGTCCTGTAACAAGTAGTTACATTTACAAAAAAGCGGTATGCTAACCATACTTACGTGTGACCTATAGTTATTCAGTAGCAGTTACTTCCCCTTGTGGAACTCTATGTATATACGTTTGTAATGCGTTTTGCAATATTTTTTTTTATGAAATTAACGTTGCTTTATTGATTTGATTAGTGATCGAACATAACAGACATCATTCTCGCTGTGTAGTTTAGTTAGATTTATTACATGCAGGGAGTTTCTTGCTGTATTTTCTTTATTGTAATTTTGCTAGTCGTAGTCAGGTCGATTCGTCCCAAGTCAAATCACGTGGTTTCCGTTTATTTTTATGATTATTCCCATTGTAAACACTCTGTAATTCTGTCTTATTTCTGTAATTATCAGTCCTTCCCTGCTTATAATACACCGACGTACACTAAACATTGGCAGTCCGGGTTTCATGTGTCATATCGTCCCTGTCCCAGTCCCGTACAGGATAGTAAGTAAAGAGCTCTTGCAGAGTAGACATTTCGTCAACAGCAATACAATAAATATGATGTAACAAACTTGTGCTCTCTCTCACGCCCTTTTATTATGGTTTTAAAAAGTAATTTTATTTAACATTGTTGTATCAAACAACATATAGTTATGTGCTGACATAGATGTCCAGATGACGGGATGATAATTGTGATGACCCATATGCAATACAATGTTCAACCAGTTAACACTTTAATACCACGAAACCAAAATTTGTATTATCCCTATCGTATCCCGTAATTTAATCTGTTGCAGGTATGGGCTTCCATACATTGAAAATTCGCACATACTGATGGGCAAATACAACATAATTTACGAGAAATGTCAACAGTAACACCTGAATTATTTCTAAATACTGTCCGTGCACGCGCTTAACTGTGAATCACCATCTATAAGGTTCTTTATAACGTCATAATGATACATCCTACCAACCACGTGCTCCGGTAAATAATAAAGAAAGTAACACTGAAATGTTACAGTTCTTGGTTTCTAGCAAAATAACACAAGGACCACTGGGCGGGTTCTCACGGCATTTTCATTTCCCATGAAGGATAATAAAAACAAAACCCTGCAATGTAAAACACAAAAAGACAATAAACTCTCGCTCTCTGACACATATATATATATATACTATAGACCTGACCATGTTTAAACAAGGGAAATAACTCTTATGACTGACTTTCGTTAACCTACTAAATAGCGCAAATTACATAATTAGAAACGTTGAAACAACTAAACTTTACCGGACCAGAACAATACGGACTAGTAGTTTATTTCATTAATAACCGGCTACATGGGCTACAGAACGTAATTCCATGGTAAAATATATAATAAGACAGACAATTTTAAACTAATTACTAAATAACTAGAATATGTTATATACAACAGACAACTGTGGTGCAGAGAATTCCTATAAATTCCCTTTGGGACGTAGGTGTAGTATAGATGTAATATAAACCGTCGCTGCGTGTATCTCGGGTGGAAGTGCCCGGATGTGGTAACAGGTAAAAAGCAAGTCTTGTCAAAGGTCACGACCTACACAATTTATTGGTCAGTCCACAGTCAGGTGTCAAAACATGCATACTTAATTGACATAACGTAATACACAACACTAAAATATATGATACATCCATATATACGTAAACTGATGTAAAACCAGCTATATTTAACCATTAATAAGCCCCCTTATGTATATATATGTACTAAGCTATCAGTAAATAACAGCATATACAAATTCTACCCTGTAACAGACAGTGATACAACTACATTACAACTTAGAGCCCACGTTCAACATTTCCGAAAATTACAGTACTTACACCGTGGTCGCTGCAAGTTGTGCATAAGTGGTGATTTCTTACCACCGAACCGCACATAGGCAAAATGTACACTAAACGAACACAAAGTTCTACAAAGGGAGGTTATCTCCCAAACCTACGGAAGCCGCACGGTGGCAAAGTAATAAAGAGATGTTTCAGTTGATGGTTAACAAAGACGGTTAAGGATTTCAGGGTGAAATGCTATTTATTCTCTTTCCGGCCGTTTCATGTTTTACCTACAAATTTAAGGCAGTGTTACAACCAGTGAAAGCATGGGAAGTAGGCAATTAAGTTGTCCTGCCTTCTAAGTACGAACCCATCATACTGATTGAAACGTTTTCTTTCCGACACCAGAACAACTTTGATTTTTTTTATATCCAGGTAATGTAAAACTTTAATTAGATGCGTAAACTATTTCCATGAACTATATTTGCAATTGCCGTGAGGAAATGATAAGACTTTTATCTTTTCAATTATATCAATCATATCGACTTCGTTATTCCGGAACAGAATATGGTTTTAGCATTTCACTATCATCCGCAACTTTCTCATTTTAGATTAGATACTTGACATAGGTGTTACAAGTGCCATCCTTGACTTCCTGATTCTAGATTAGATATATGACTTAGTGTTTCACAACCATCCTCGTCTTCTTTATTCAGGAACAGACATATGACTTAATGTTTCACAACCATCCTCGTCTGTTTTATTCAGGAACAGATATATGACTTAGTGTTTCACAACCATTCTCGTCTTCTTTATTCAGGAACAGACATATGACTTAATGTTTCACAACCATCCTCGTCTTCTTTATTTAGGAACAGACATATGAATTAGTGTTTCACAATCATCCTCGTCTTCTTTATTCAGGAACAGACATATGACTTAGTGTTTCACAACCATCCTCGTCTGTTTTATTCAGGAATTTTATGAATTAGTGTTTCACAACCATTCTCGTCTTCTTTATTCAGGAACAGACATATGACTTAGTGTTTCACAATCATCCTCGTCTTCTTTATTCAGGAACAGACATATGGCTTAATGTTTCACAACCATCCTCGTCTTCTTTATTTAGGAACAGACATATGAATTAGTGTTTCACAACCATCCTCGTCTTCTATATTCAGGATTAGAAGATTGTTTTCATGAGCATCTTCGTTTTCTTCATTCTACAACGTTGAGTTGTGTTGTAGAAGAAGTCCCATAACTTATTGTTGTATTTACCGCCGTTTAGATTTGCATGGACGCAGTTTTTGTACCACCATCCTCCACTGGAAGCGCGAGCACATGACCATTTCCATTGATCATTGTCTCTGTCGAACGTTGAGAACTGCATTCCATCATGTTTAGCCATGGCATCGGCTATAGATTGAATAAGAAGAAGTATTAACAGCAGCTTCCTAATAGAGAATACCCTCTCACTTCAACATCACCTGCAAGTTGTTATTGATATCTACCATCAGTAACAAATTCTTAAGAACTTCATAAAGCTACACATTCTCAATACACGCATTCACCTCGTAAACATAAGGATACCTGTATGTCGATAGCGATAAACATAGACTCATCAGACATCTTCTAGCAACATGATCCATTTTTAAATGTCATACAGTGTAATTAATGTTTTCGTCATGTCTCCCTCCAAGTTCATACTGCCAGTTCAGTAGGATTATTAAGTGACATGTTTCAGGATTGTAAAGTCAATTGGTGGCTCAACATGAATTACAATTTTACCTCCGAGGATATTGTAACCAGATGGCTTATGGGAAAATGGTGTTACAGCTAATTATGAAAAAATTGAACAAAAAAATAAAACCAATCTTTGGTTTCATTCAAGTTATAAATGTACCGTTGATCTAAATATTATTATCAGACCTAATGTGTATCTTTAGTTAATACGATTTATGCTGATGTGGCAAGACATTGAACACTATAAGTAGGTGAAGTAGGATTAGCTTACAAACTGACCAGGAAGATTTCATCACATTTAATTACGCTGTATATACAATTGTATGTGTTCCTATTTCTATATATGTATCATCTGTGTACCTATTCCTATATAATGTTAGTATGTGTTGATTTACGGATGGTCAGCAATAATTTAGCTAACATCAGCGTAGATTCATGATTCAAGATACCAAGGTTAAGTGGGGTTTGATCAACGGTCATTTCGGCAGTGGGGATAAATAGACGACAGATATTGGGGTTAGCCAGAGAAGGCCGGTGAGCGCTGGAGAAAGGAACACCATCTCTCACAAACCATGTCAGACTCTGCTTGTACCTAATAAAAGAAAAAATGAAAAGAAACAACGACTTGCTTATACTCAATTGGGCCACAGTATATCTCGACCTGGAAACCAATTCCAGTGACCTCATACAGACAAATATTAAAGTTATTTAAAAGACCAGAGCTGGTCAGTAAGAAGATACAGGGATAAATTGTCCAAACCATCTCGTCTATACATACAAATGTTACCAGAGAATCCGGAAACGCTCAGTCTGTAATTATCCATCTCGCTTCCAACTCTGAACGCTGAATACTGTGCATGTCCATCATCATTACTCCCTGAGACTAATTCGATCCGGAGGGAGGACGGTTTGAGGGTGAGGTGGTGGATAGCTTCATTTCCTAGTCAAAATGCAGCATTTGATTTTTCGTTAGATTTTACAAAACAATATTGGCAAAAATACATTTTCTCTGCTTGGAAATATAATGAGATTAGAATATCTATTTTTGAATGATTACATGAATGGTCAAGCTTTATCCGATACTTCGGGACAATTCTTACTTTCAATAACTCATTATTTAGTTCAGTAAAACTTGATTGTAATGACTCCCAGAGGACAATAGAACTCCCTTTATTAAAGTGAATCCAAGTTACAGTAGAACTTACTTGATCACAAAGATATTTGACAACTTATTGTCCAAACTGATGAAAACCTTTATTGACTAAAATATTACAAAATTTTATCGAACGTCTGTTCAAAAGTCCTTCTTTACATGTAGTTGTAAGGTATTTGATGTGTAGCTTTCTGTCCTTGATTACAAAGCGATAAATAGTAAACATGTGATGTTAAAAACATTTAATATGAGAACATGTAAATCAGTACCTTTTATGTAGTCACGGCATCATGCATGGATATAACGTATTTTTGACATTCTGTTTTGACTTTATAGATCATATCTTATATCTTTACCTGAATGTTTCTGAAGTCCAACTCGAACGAAAAACGGTTGGTACTTTAAATAGATCTATATTTAATGGATGCAAGGATGTATGAACGGAGCGTAACTTATATGTGTAAAATTTGGGGAAAAAAAGAAAATACCAACAAGGCAACATAATCATCATTCAAACTCAAATTCCATAAAACTATGGCAAAATATGAGCAAAATAATGATTTACACGGAGACTCCTGAAAAGGTACAAAGATAATAAGACCAGGTGTCCCGGAAGAGTAAGTGATTCTGCTTCATCGACAACACCCGTCATGTAAACATTGGTCGATCCAATTAAATAATACCACTTTCTCAAATGAGAACAAGGTAAACAACAACGGAACAAACTAACGAGCATCAAATAGCTTCATGTCGCATAAAGATTATTATTAATATTATTAACTTAACTGCCCATCAACACATAAAAGTTCATTACGGTCATCAACCGGTAAACCACACAGCGATCCAAAAAGGGAAAAAAATCAAACTATAAGGGAAATTCTAAAAACCTTTAATGGGTATATTATCATAAAGGAATGGAACATGTCTCAATGGTGTCACTATGGCGACCATAAACCTTCATCGTTTGAACCCTTGTGTAACAAGTTTGTCAGTAAATAAGCCGCTATTACATGATTAAAAACATGGCATGTCGGTTACGACAAACCTTGAGAACTGAAATACACCAGCTTTAGCTACCACCTGCAATTTCAAATGCCGGAGTTCATCTATTTCAAGTGAACATTTTTGAACAAAATTCACACCGGGTAAGTAGATTGTATAAAAGGTTTCATGTGTTTTGATGTTGCCGCCAGTAAATGATTCTACATGTAAACGTTAAACTATTTTGAAATACTGCATGGTGGCCTGTAGTTTTAAGGTCAAACTGACAACGCCAAAGGTTTAATAGCTCAAGTAACATCTAACATTGTCTGGGAATTTAACATTATCAGAACTGTTATGCAACAGTGTAGGTCGATGATTAAGTCGAGAACACGTTTATCTCGTGTTATAGAAGTGTTTTGCAATATGTGATACATCTGTACATGTATGAAGTCATGAAGGGTCAATAATTGTCCTTTCCCAGATATGTTGGATTTTTAAAAATAAGGTCGAACATCATTATATCGAAGTAGGCGGCACCACTGGAAATTTTCGAGTTATCCGAGTATTCGATTTAAGCGAGTTTTTAGTGTTAAAATAGGATTGGACTGACGGAATAAAACGTGGTCTTCGAGTTATGAGAGTTCAAGATAACGAGGTTCGACTTTCTGTGTGATATTTGCTTTGATAGCATATTCAAATTCGCATCATTGTTTTAGTTATAACGAAAGATACATACCCAGCCAGAAATTTCCGTTGAGATCACCAAATCCATTTTTGTATTCTTCCCATGTCCTGTTAAATTTCACTTCTCCATCTGCTCGGTTCTGTATTACCTGGAAATATATTAGTGACTGCCATGATTTGTTCGCGAAGTCGATGATTGTACATATCTACATACTAGAAGACGTCTATTGGTGAAAACCTGCACTGTGAAATTATACTGGTATTATTACCTTTGTTCCAGAAAGACATCAGTGCCAGTTTTATTAATCCATTTAACTACATATATATCCAATCCAAACCTAACGATTAAGCAAACATCAAGCTGGTGTGGCTTAATTATACAATTATAAAACATTTTTAAAAAATCTAAATCTGTCCAACAACACTGGAAAATATTTTTGGTAACAGGAATAACTCTTTTCACCCATGCCAGTGCCATGTTCTCCAAGTAACTTACCGTCCATGGTCCGTCTGCTGTATCCATGTCACAGTATACCTTGAAACAGACTCCAGGCAAAAGGTTGATTCGGTAAACGCCAGATGAATGGATGGCTGGATCTAGCTCATTGCAATTTGCAGGGTCTACAAGACAGCAAAGGTAATTTTAAACCTTGGTGTAAAGCAAAAATTACTTCTAACTAATTTATTTCAACTTTCATATCGGTAGGAGCATCAATGCTATTCATGTTTAACCCTACCGAATAAATACCAACCTTTCTTCAAAATTTCGATAAAACTGGTTTCATAGTCATCGACACTTGTTTTAAATCACCTGGTCCGAAGTGTCTCATGATCTAATGGCAGGGGCTCTGTGTCCACCATACGCTGATCGTCCGTCAAACCATTATACATGTTGCTGCTAGTCACAACCGACTAAGAGGATTTTAGCTAAATTTGATAGGGAACATCTGTGGGAAAGCGGAAGCAATTTCATAAAATGGTAGTTCTGGGACCTTTGGAACGGTACTCAAATGTGACAACATTACATATTCCATAAAATCTTTCAAAGTTCGTCTGAAACATCAACGCTGAGTCTGACCCTCATTTATTTCTTGATATATGTGACTGCGATTTTTAAAAAAAAAATCTAATCATAGGGAAATCTTGATATATTTTTGTAATCTTGAAATATAACTTGATAGCGCAGGCAAATACATGTTTGCAATAGATTTTAACATAAACCACATGTTGATCATATATTATTTGAAACATTATTAAACGCGGCAGGAACGAACGTTTGGTTTGGTTGGTATTGTTTGATCATTTGCTGTCAAAATGGAATTAATCGTTTATGAAGAAAGAATATTTATAAATCAAACATATCGAAACGTCACAATTCCTATCATGACCTACATACATACATTATAGAACAATCATTTTTTCATTGGGAATGTCAAGACGTTCAAAAACTCTTACAAACTCGAAAACAGTTACAGATGCATTGATTATTCTATTTATATCAACAAACAATCCTTTCTGTCTGGAATTACTAGCTACAACAGCCCTAGTGTTTGAGTTGATAATGAAATGATTTTGATTATTAAACACTACATTTACCAAAACAAATGTCTACACAGGTCTTTAAACATCAGTACTAAAGTTAACACTGTACAAAGTCATTATTCTGTACAAAAATATATTTCAAAAAGCATAAGCAACACTCTTGATTAAAGTGTATGGATGAATTGAGAAAAGGGGGGAAATATCACAACTGAAACTCAATCCTGACTATAAGCCGACCTAAAAACTTAACTAGATTTTTTCTTTGTTTTGCAATTCAGTATATTAATTAAGCATCTCGTGGACACGTCCTCTCTCTCTCTCTCTCTCTCTCTCTCTCTCTCTCTCTCTCTCTCTCTCTCTCTCTCTCTCTCTCTCTCTCTCTCTCTCTCTCTCTCTCTCTCTCTCTCTCTCTCTCTCTCTCTCTCTCTCTCTCTCTCTCTCTCTCTCTCTCTCTCTCTCTCTCTCTCTCTCTCTCTCTCTCTCTCTCTCTCTCTCTCTCTCTCTCTCTCTCTCTCCTGTATGCGAGTGTTTATATAGGTATGAGTGTTTTTTATGTGTGTGCTACAATGTTAAATGGTAGTGGTGGTGGTAATGTTAGTATTGGTGTTGGTGGTGGTGGTTGTGGGTGGTGGCTGAATAGTATGTAGTTTTGAGGCTCTGACAATTTTGGTGATCAGACGGATTTCATTGATTTTGGTATGAAGTTGTTCATTACATCAACAAATTTTACATTGGACTTATAATTCCATCTGGATAGTTTGCAAATTAGTGTTTTTGTGCAAATTCCTTTGTTGAATTGTGCAGTGCTGAACTGTGTTCAGGGATTACCTGAGTGAGGAAAACCAACACAACATGACCAGGGATTCCAACACCAACCGGCAACCCCCTAAAAGATCTAAGATTACTTAACAACAGTACAGACAATAAAGAACAAATCAATGAGATGGAAGAGGTCAATGCTGGAAACCATTATAAAAACAAGAATTAAAACTGAGGACCTCAAAGTGATAATGACATTTTCTGAATGGAATACTCCAGAATTTCCGTGATACAATTACTAAAGATACCCATGTGAAAGTGAAAGAGGTAACTAGTGAGATTCGGAAAGAGTTAGATAGGCTAAACATGGTAAATGAAAGGCTAAAAGAAATGGTGGTTAAACAGAGGAAAGACATCTACTGCTAAGGTGAACATATCAAATAAACTGGCAGAACAGGCCATGCCCATGGCTAATCATAATGAACAATATAGCAAGAAAATATCAATTAAAGTAATGAACATGGAAGATAGGTTACCAGACAAGGACCTAGAGAAAGCCTTCTGTGAGAAGATTAAACAGGAAGCTAAGATCGAGATCAAACCATGGGATATACTAGCATGTCACAGGATCCCTGGCAAACGAGACCAAACCAGTGCTTGTAAAGTTTGCTCGTAATGACATTAAGCACCCTGTGATGAGAGCTTGAAAAGATAAAAAAAACCACCTTGAGATTGATTTACACAACCCGCGAGGATGTTACAAAACTCGATATTGAACATATACACAGACTGTATGACGACGAGCGGATTGAATCTGCATGGCACTTCAACTCGCCAGTGTATGCCAAAACTGTGAAAGGTGAACGGATAATGTTTGACATTTATGACAATCTTGACAAGTAACAGGAACACAGTAAGTTGGAAATTTATGTTCCAAAGATTCATAATATATATGTATAGACTTTTTAAATGAATTTAAATACCATTCGCCTAACAGTTCCAGCATATAACTTCACTCATATAATGCTATGTTGGCTACAGCATAATAATTTCGTAAATATATCTGTGTCCATTTAATTGCCTTTGCCAGTAGGTATGTTGATAATGCCATGTTTTTCATGAATTAGAAGTTGTACATATGATCCCATGTTTTAAATACATGCTATGTGAAAGAAATGTAATATATGTGCAAAGTAACCCACATGGAAGAATGAAAAGTTGATGTTCAATATGATAAAGTCAATATGTATACAATCATATTAAACGTACACACTTTAATACTGTTTGGATGTACAGGTATTATTTTATTACTATGTTGATGTATTCCTTATGAATAATCAAATACATTTCAATACCAATGTATGTGTACAACCTGTAAAAAATAACTGTTTACTATTTATTATGATATATGTATATCATATTGCAAAGGTTTGACCGCCTCGTGTGGGTGTGTTACACCAAATCAGGTAGAGACGGACTAGGAGTCTGATACTGATTTTCTATAAATTGTAAGTCACAAAAAACTTGTTGATAATGTGATTCTGTTGACAGGGATGTTGATTGATTGACATGTGCCCATGTGGTAAATATATGTGTGTACTTTTGGACTGCGCATTCTTCAACCCTTATCATACTACATAGTTACAGCGAGTCATTTACAGAATTACCGTTGACTAAAAAAAAAAAACTCACCAAAACCATGCTAGTGATTTCAACATTGTATTCTGATAACATAAAAGACCTCATTTCTTTCATTTTACATTGGACAAGTGATGCACTTGTTACTAAGAAAACTCTAATATTGGTCATTCATTTAGAATACAAGTATGAACAGGAGAGAATTAACCTTAGTACCTGATCTTTTGTAAGTGATTAGCATGATAGGGGTTGAAAATTGATGCGAGTCTGTGACATATGTCATTACTTTTATTTATGATACATACATTTAGATGTATTATTAGTGTGATGGCTATGTTTCGTACATGGAGTGTGTGGGTCCTGTATAGTACACATACATTATTTAACCAATAATTGTCATATTCTGGAATAGCTGCAGGCTGAAATATGAGGGAGTCATTCTTATTTAGTATTGTATGTTATAATCTGTTTGTTTCTTTTTTGTCATTTATGTTTGTAACACTTGTCAGTGCTGTAATATTTTTACCTTCTCTATACAATTTCAAGATCATGTTTCTTTTCTTAAGCAATCAGTATTTGAAATCATCATTGAGTATGGAGACGAATTGATGTACGTTCAGCTAATTGACAGGGCCTCGGAAATAAGAATAAAAGAAAAGTTTTTTTCATATTTAAGAAGTAAACGATATAATATCTACTGTATTCAAGATACACGTTTCACGTATGAGATAGAAAACAGAATAAGGTCAGAATGGGGATATGATTACCTTTTTCGTTCTTTTTCTTCTAATTCAAGAGCGATTGCAATATTATTTAATAATAATTTTGAACATAAAAATGTTCAAAGTGACGAAAGACGATTCAGGGAATTGTTTGGCATTAGATATAGCTATTGATGGAAAGCATATTACACCTATTACAACATATGCTTCAAACACAGACACAACACTTTTCTTGAAAACGTAGCAAACACTTTTATAGAGTTCCGAAACGAATCACAGATTATATGTGGGGATCTCAACTTAGATTTAAAACCTTACATAGATTATGAAAATTATAAGCGTATCAACAACCCGAGGGCTAGAGATATGGTGTTATAAATTATGGAAAGTCATGATCTTTCAGATGTATTTAGAGAACATTACCATGATAAAAAAACGCTTCTCGTGGAGGAAACAGGCTCGATTAGATTTGTTTTCTAATATCGGAAAACCTATTATCCAGTGTAGAGAAAGTAAATATAGAACCTAGTCATAGATCGGACCATTCAATGCCAGTAATAGAGATACAATTCAATAATTAAAAAAAAAGGGAAAGGTTTGTGGAAATTCAATAACTCACTTGTGGAAGACTCTCAATATTTAGCCTTGTTAAATCAACGATACACAAAGTAAAAAAACAATATGCTGTACCAGTCTATATTTTTTCAAAACTTGATGATATACACGATAACAATGTAAACTTTATAATAAATTATCAACTTTTTTGGATGCATTACTCATGGAAATTAGGCAGGGGAACAATCTCATACTCATTTTTCAACAAAAAATGAACAAAACCAAGCAGAAAGTAAACTAAGGGAAGAAATAACGGAGCTAGAGAATAGGGAAA